CATTCTTCAATAAAATAATATTTTTCATCACATCAATAATTTTTTTTTCTCTTTCAACCACACATTTCTCATCATATCACTATTCAAAATCAATTCTTCCCCCAAAAATCTCTCCCAAGCAAGCTCTAAGCTAACCTAACATTTACATTTTAATTAAAAATTCGTATGTTTGCTATTTGGACAACTCAATTGGCTTGGTTGATTACATTTGGAAATTATTTTGCTTGAATTTTTTTTTTAATGAAAAATATTGATTAGTTCCAATAATAACTTAGTTTTACATACTGAAAATTAAATAAGAGTAAATTAGAAAAAATCTTGACAAAAATTAATTTTCTAATGACATTAAAGAAGTTTTTTTAATCCGTGTGAAAAACGAAACAAGTCTATATAATTTGGATGGAGTGAGTAGCCATTTTCCCAGTTCTTTGGTATTGGTGAGAATAATTGATAAGTGTATTTTTAAAAAATTATCAGTTCTTTTAATCTTGAAAATTATAATTAATTGAGCGGATTTCTACTTAATTAAGTGTCAATGTGTAAAATGTAGGTGAAACTTGTACGTTGACGCTGTTAGCATTTAAATGGCAATTTTTAGCTGATTTGGAGTTGATTTGGAAAATTAAAGATTTATTGGATGATATGGGGGTGATTATAAGTAAAAAAGAGGAGCTATTGGAAGAAATTCACAAGTTTTGGGGTGAAATTCAACTTTTGAAAGTTTGAGGACTAAATATGCACTTCGAAACTTGAGATGTGACAATTTTGAATGATTTTGAAGCTTCAAGGATTGATCAAGAAGACTTTGAAAGTTGCAGCATCAAAATTAAAGTTTAAAATGAAGAAAGGATATAGTGTGCACGAAAAATAATAATTGGGGAACAATTTGAATGATTTTAAAAGATGAAGGAAAAGAAACAAAATAAAGTGTTGAGCACTATTTGCAGCGATTTACTACGATCCAAATAGAATTACTGTTTGCCGAGGTTGACTGCAGCAATGCAAATGATTAACTGGGATTTGACGAGTTTGACCGACTTTTCACCTTTTATTGAGAGGAAATTTCACTACTTGCAGCGATTTACTACGATCCAAATAGAATTACTGTTTGCCGAGGTTGACTGCAGCAATGCAAATGATTAACTGGGATTTGACCAGTTTGACTGACTTTTCACCTTTTATTGAGAGGAAATTTCCACTTTATTGTGTCCATTTGCAAAAATGTCTATCATTGTAAAAATGTCCATTTTGAAA